ATTTTGAGGCATGAATGCTCCATCCTTCCTTTTAGCTCTTTGACTAGGTACAGACACATATGGCTGTGGACATACCTCCTAAGTGAGTGGCTGGTTCCCGGCTTGCGGAGACATTCCCATGCTCTTCCTCGCTGACCTGACGAACTCAGGGCCTATTTGTGGAAGAGCTTCAATATGAGGAAGAAATTCCCCTTACTCCCACTCCAGGAATCCTTAATGCTTAGCGTTTTGAGCAGCTTTCTAAGAAGTAGAATGGTTCAAATTCCCTTGCACAGAAGCAGGATTTCCAGATCCGAAGCCAGTGCTGGAGATGAAAAGGGACTGCTCCTCTTCTTTCCAAGAATCACACTACATTGGGTCAAACAGAACATTTAATCATCCATGCTCCAGCTTATTTTCTTTCAGCAAGAAAAATGGTCAGTTTGGTTCCATCCAAACTATGCTGGTTTTCATTATTTTCTGGGTGGCTTTAGAACAAAAAAGGCAATCTTCACAACGGCTGTGAATAGTCACGAAATAACTTGGTTTCGCTTTCATCCAGGCTGCTCTACACTTTTTACAAACTATCATGACTGCAGCCATAGTGTTTTTACTTGATCTTGCCCTTACTCTATCTTACTTGAATGTTTTTGTTACATTTTACAATACCATTTACCCTTTTTATTTCCAGTTTTATCAACTAATACACTGAGGTTTTTTCCTTGGTCCTTTCCAAATGTTAAACTCTCAACTTCTTTCAGAATTTCCTACTAGGCCCCAAAAGCACATCCCACTATATCACAAATCACAGAATCACAGAGCAGCTGAGGTTGGAAGGGACCTCCGGAGATCATCTAGTCCAACCTCCCTGCTCGAGCAGCGTCCTCTAGAGCATATTGCCCAGGAACACATCCAGATGGGTTTTGAATATCTCCAGGGAAGGAGACTCCACTACCTCTCTGGGCAACCTGTGCCAGTGCTCACTCACCCTCACAGGAAAGTAGTTTTCCCTCAGGTTCAGACAGAACTTCCTGTGCTTCAGTTTGTGCTCGTTGCCTTTCGTCCTATTGCTGGGCACCACAGAGAGAGTCTGGCCCCATCCTCTTGACGCCCTCCCTTCAGATACTTCTACACAGTGATCAGATTCCGCCCCCCCCTCAGTCTTCTCTTCCCCAGCTCTCTCAGCCTTTCTTCATAGGAGAGATGTTCCAGTCCCCTAGTCATCTTTGCAGCCCTTCACTGGACTCAATCCAGGAGCAGGAGAGAGGCTCCAATCCCCTCGTCATCTTTGCAGCCCTCCACTGGACTCTCTCCAGCAGTGCCATGTCTCTCTTGGACTGGGGAGCCCAGAACCGGACACAGTACTCCAGATGTGGCTTTCCCCAGGGCTGAGTGGAGGGAGAGGATTACCTCCCTCGACCTGCTGGCAACACTCTGCCTAATGCACCCCAGGAGACCATTGGCCTTCTTGGCCACAAGGGCACATTGCTGCCACATGCTTAACTTGTTGTCCACCAGTACTCCCATGTCCTTCTCTGCAGAACTGCTTTCCAGCAGGTCAGCCCCAGTGTGTATTGGGGTACGGTTTTACTCCTCCCAGGTGCAGGACTCTGCACCTGCCTTTGTGGAACTTCAGGAGGTTCCCCTCTGCCCACCTTTCCAGCCTGTCCACGTCCCTCTGAAGGGCAACACCACCTTCTGGTGTGTCAGCCTCTCCCCCCAGTTTAGTCTCATCAGCAAACTTGCTGAGGGTGCACTCTGTCCCTTCCTCCAGGTCATGGATGAACATACTGAACAAGACTGGACCCAGGACTGACCCCGGGGGGACACCGCTAGCTACAGGCCTCCAACTAGACTCTGCACCACTGACCACAACCCTCAGAGCTCGGCCATCCAGCCAGTTCTCACTCCACCTCACTCTCCACTCATCCAACCCACACTTCCTGAGCTTACCTAGGAGGATGTTGCGGGAGACAGTGTCAAAAGCCTGGCTGAAGTCCAGGGAGACAACATCCACTGCTCTCCCCTCATCTACCCAGCCAGTCATCCCATAAGAGAAGGCTATCAGATTGATTATGCATGATTTCCCCTTGGTGAATCCATGCTCCTGATCACCTCCTTGTCCTCAACATGCTTGAGTTCCCTGGCTCCTCCTCCTTGCCCTTTTGGAAGACTGGGGTGACACTGGCTTTCTTCCAGTCCTCACGCACCTCTCCTGATCTCCAGGACCTTTCAAAGAGGATGGAGAGTGGCCTGGCAATGACATCCACCAGCTCCCTCAGCACTCATGGGTGCATCCCATTGGGGCCCATGGACCTATGGGTGTCAAGTTTGCCTAAGTTATCTCTAACCCAATCCTCCTCAACCAAGAGAAAGTCTTCCTTTCTCCAGACTTTCTCCCTGGTTTCCAGGGTCTGAGGTTCCTCAGGACGGGGCTTACCAGTAAAGACTAAGGCAAAGAAGGCACTCAGTATCTCTGCCTTTTCTGTACCTTTTGTCACCAGGACTCCTGCCCCATTCAGTAGCAGGCCCACATTTTCCCTACTCCTCCTTTTGTTGCTGCTGTCTTTGAAGAAGCCCTTCTTGCCGTCCTTGACATCCCTTGTCAACTGAAACCCCATATGGGCCTTAGCCTTCCTAGTCCCATCTCTGCATACTTGGACAATGTCCCTATATTCCTCCCAAGTGGCCTATCCCTGCTTCTGCCTTCTGTACATTTCCTTCTGTTTGAGGTTTGCCAGGAGCTCCTTGTTCATCCATGCAGGTCTCCTGCCCCCTTTGCTCGAGTTCTTGGTCATAGGGATGCAACATTCTTGAGCGTGGAGAAAGTGATCCTTGAATATGAGCCAGCTCTCTTAGACCCTTCTTCCTTCTAGGGCCTGATCCCATGGGATTTTTTCCAAGGATATATTGTAGTATTTAATTATATCACATTTCTGTCATTCCTGTCATTGTGATTATTCAGTTCTTCTGAGCAGTATCCCAGCCCTCAACTCTATTGATGGTGTCTCCTGACTTTGTGCAAACAGCACACAGCAGCAGCGCAATCCCAGTTTTTGTGCTGTTAAATGAGAAGGTTGAAATTCTAAGATGTTAAACAAGGCTGAGATAGACCGGTCCTTGTAATTCCTAACAACTCAAATCTTCAGCAATTTGACTCATAACCTCCTCCTTCAATCCTTAAGGCATTGCTGTCTTACCTCTAATCAGTTCTTTCACATTTTATTGTTCCCTTACTAATTCTCATCTTCTCCAGCCTAAACATATCAAATTATTTACTGAACACCAGGTAAATGAGATAAGCTGATAAGCTTTCTTTTTCTTTGTTTTCTTTCTTTAACCTAGTTATTTTAAAGCCATCAGATTAACCTGGTATGATGTACATATAATCTATTTCCTGTTTGCTTCCATATATTTATTTGCATTGAAACATATTTTCAAACATTGTAGGCTATGAGGCCATTTAAAGAGTTTGGTAATTGTCATATTCATCTCTTTTTAACATACAGATCTGTACTTCCTATTTTCAATCACATGGCATCATCCTGACAGCACTGTCTTTGAAAATCACTTGTTACTGAATTTAAGATTTAGTTTTAGTAATTTCAGAATTCTAGTGCTTATCTGACACCAAATTTATTAAAACCTTCATGGTTTTTCTTCCACTTCTGTGATAATTCGCATTTTCATATCTCAATTCCGTTTATCCATATTGTGTTCTGTTTTAACATCATAATCTACCATGAAAGTCTAGATGAGCTTCCATTTGGATTGGAGCAAAGCAGATCACTTCTATGCTAGTCTCATCACACAGTTGTACCGTTTACTATATGGTAGTCAAGCCTGATAAGCTAAACAAGACTGTTCTCGTAGAATAAAATGTGAGGAGAAGAGGAAAATCTTTTTTTTTTTTCCCAAGGAGGAAAAAAAAAGTTTCTTTTTCCCTCCCTGTCTATGCTGAGCGTTTACACTGCTGCTTAACTCTTCCGTTGCTTGAATATAAAATGACGTAATTTCTTCAAGTGAGTAAAACCTTATCTGCAAAGCTATGTCTTCACTGGTATACTCAAGATTGTCCTTATTCCCATTTTACAGCCACTGCAAGTTCCCCAAGAGTAGGCACAGCAACCATAGCTGTTTATGCTCCAGTATCAGGTAGACCGGCTTACTTTCCCCTTAGTTGACAGTAGCTAAGTCCTGATGAAAAGCAGACTGTATGAATCATAGTGCTAGTGCGGAGATATTTGCATAACATAATGTGGAGGTGCAGAAAGAACTACAGCAATAATCATTTTTATTTAGAGTGCTCTGCACAAGCCCTATTGGCATTTCACCCTCATTTCAGGGAGTGCTATATGCCTAGGGTTTTACTGTCACTTTCTAAGCCAGTTCCTGCCTATTCATGACATATGGCCAGATCAAAAGAAGGATTTAGGTGCCTAACCGGGGTCTTACACCAAAATCCAGGATTGCAATCCAAAAATACTCTGCGCAATCTAACTGTGGGGGCAGCTAAATTTGTTACCTACCTCTCTCCCTCCAACCTGCTGAGTGGGTTTATCAGAAGGTTAGAAAATCTTTTCTTCTCGGTCTCTTCTGCCTTCATCTTAATATATTTTTACTGCATAAAGACTCAGCTTCTCAGGAAGGCATCCTTAAAGGGCCACAAAGACACACATAAACCTGCAAGACAGGGGTTAGGACCTTTATTTGGAGGTGATATGGCATGAATACCCAAAGGAAGGAGAAAGAAGGGGCCTAGCACGCCCAAGACAACATTACTTCAGAGAAGACATGTGGGTACTCAGTCTGCTAAGAATTCCAGATTGGTTCAGGATGGGCATACTGGTTCAGAAGTACATAAGATCTGAGAAAATACAGGATATCAAGAATATTTCTTATTACCTAGTTCTGTCCAGTACACAGTTTGGCACATCTTTCTAAAATTTCTGACTCTCCTTATGCCTATTTACCCAGTTCTGGGGTTTGGGTTTCATTTCAGAAAGCAGGTGTTTACATGTTTGATCTTAAATCCAGAATAAACTATCAGAAACACTTGTGTTCATACAGGTATGTGTTCCCTGGAGGAGAGAAGTATTGCAGTCTAGTATGCAGACGACAGGACTGAATCAATTCTAATTTTCTTTGTTCCCCAGTCAGAATTAAAAAGGGGCAGAAACAGCTTTGAGAAGATGCCACCAGCACTTCTGAGGGACCAGCGGCTTTGTACTGTGCCTTGTACTTTCAGTTTTGCAACCTGTACAGTGTGCCATACACAGGAAGCAATGAGGAGAATGCATACAGCAGAAGTGAGAGCTGCAGAAATCCTTTTCCTCTCTAAGGTACGATGCCGTATAAGTAGTCTATTGACAGCAGGACAGGGAGGATCTCATAAATCAGAGCAGCCTTTGGGAGTGCTATGACGTACAACCATGGGCTGCATAGCCTCAAACTTAGCCTAAATGTAGAAAGAAGCAATGGGAAACTTCAGGTCACTTTGTCCTTGCTCTCCAAGTTATGCTTACTGTATGGTTCCTCCAGAGGTTTGCAGCACAGAATCTGGCACACCAACATCACATAAGCATTTCAATTAACCTAGATTGAGTTTCACTTCTGTCTTCCCAATGCCTCCAAGAAACTACCTAGCTAACAAAGGCAATGTTAGCAGCTGGGGAGAAATTATGTAACCACGTAAAACAAAGGCACCCAAACCAAGGCCTGCATTATCAGGCACACCCAGGCATTATGTTAGCCACTTCGCTTCTGTTTTGCACCTCTTTTCCTTGATCCTTCGGCATTTGTATTTTAGATCCTGAATTCTACACAGCACAGACTACACCAACTGATATTTCTGCATTTACCAGCTAGGATGCTGTGCTATTTAAGAGAATGGAAAGCAATAACACGGTGTACCTGTCAAAGACATAGACTTTCCCAATTAGAGACAGCAGATACATGCCTTTACCTATAAAGTTTACAATATGAAGATATTTTCTTTAGCATTTGCTTGATTGCTTTGGTTTGCATTTAATTATACAGATGGCTTGAGTGGTTCTGTAATTTTATAGCCAGGCTCTGCTTGTGATTGATGTGGTAGTGTCATTCTTACCAAGGCTTGGTTTGGAAATGTATGGGTTTTGAAAAGCTTGTTGTATTTAAATCCTCTAGTTACAATGCAGCAAATGCTGTATCATGAATGAAATGAAAAAAACATTAAAACTTGTTTTTGTAGACTTTACACGACTATAGTATTTGTAGCAAGACAACATGGGAATCAGAAAATCAACAGTGATGATTGTGGCTGGCTGTTTAACTTTGTGGCTCCTTGAAAACATATCTCCTCTTACATCTTTCAGATACACAGTCATAGACATTGCTTCTTGTCTATGACTGTTTTCATTAACCTATCATCAGGAAAAAAAGGGTGATACTTTATTTTTCATTCAGAAAAAAGGAATTATTAACTTTTAGATAGATTAAGCACTAGCCTGTAAGAAAAGGAAATTAAACCAAAAAAACCTTATTTCTTTCCCCTCTATTTCATATTTATGGATCTAAAAGTAAAGGACCTGATATGCTAATGAATGTAACTGTAAATTATTTTCTGGAAGTAGAATGACAAACTTGAGCTATAACCTCTCAAGTCTAGAGACTCATTATCTGCAAAACTGCCTCGCATTCTATTTCCATCACAACACTTAACAACTGTGACGCTCAAATTGTTAGTGCAGCACTCCAGACTCTCCAGTGGGAAGGCCGTTAGCTATATACTCCTGTCTGTAGCAGTTTGACATAGCTTACGTGAGGCAGCTTTCAAAGACTGTGCGTTTGCTTGGACTATTTGTTTTATTGTCCTTCTTACTCTATTGACATAACTTGTTTCTCACTCATGAACAGTGAAATCATGTCTCTAGGCACAGATAACTCACGAGAACTGAGTTCACGCGGGCAACTCTCTCAACTTTTCTATGATTTGGTTTTTCTGTATGTACAATACAGAAACGGACTGGATCCACATGAAGTACTACACTTAATTTCTAAGCACCCTACCAACTATTAGAATCTACTTCTTCCCCTAAATAATGCTTTCACACTCTCTACACAACACATGGGGAGAGTGGGAGCCTAAGAATAAGATTAGCCAGCAGCAAGTGGTAAAAACACAGGAGCCCTCTCTCCTAAAGCAGTTGCATAGATGAGCAGTTTCCCTCTTCTCTTCTTACACAACAGCTAGTAGTTAAAGCATGTCCGAGATGCAGATTTGAATTCTTCTTCTTCCTGAGAAGGCTTGATCCATACAAAAGTACCCTCATGACAGGCACATGAAGTTTTCTGCTTTGTTGAAACTGTTCCACTTAGTAATACCTAAGTCTGAGAAAGAAGGAAAGAGGTAATGTAAGAAATTTATTCTGCACAATCCAATGATTTTAGCATCTAATGATGTTCTTCCAGTTTCCAGCCCCCTCATGTCAAAAAATGATTTGATGCTGGTGAGTACTGCTGGCTGTTGCTTAGAGGTGTGTGATGCTCTTACTGGGGCTCCTCTATGAGATTAGAGCTGTTACTTTTTATGAAGCTCTGAAGCCAACAAATGCTCAGTTTACCAATTTCTTAAAATTTGGCTGCTAGATATTTAAGATATATTTGGATTGTAAACACCTAAAGAGTTAAACGGCATCTCAGAGAGTAGAGAGACAGTTGAAGAACCTAACTGTGGACTCCTATGTCTGAAACTGTAGTATCTTTTTTTTTTTTTTTGCCAACTCCAGTCCAATAGGAGCACAATACTGCACAAACCTATCAGGAATATCCACCAATGTTTTCAAAGCACACTGGAACTCTTGAACTTTGCCTTACAAAACATAGTGAATAACATCTGACAATTCATGGAGTTAGAGACTTCAAAACTGTCCTACTTGAACTAAGTATGAATACAGTTCTTCCTTAGATGGCTTTCGATAGGGCTAGGTAGAATTGTAAAAACATCACACAAATAGAAGTTATTTTTCCTTTAGGAAATCCATATAAAATCTGCCCAATCACCATGTTAAAATCGTATTTTTACACATACCAGCCCCGCAAACTAAGGACTTTCAAAGGGTTCTTTCTGCCACTTAATCATTTATAACCAGTAATAAAGATTCTGCTGTTAGAACTCAGCTGATGAATTTGCTGAGGATTTGCGTTGTACAAAGGAATTCAGCCGACTTTACCATTGAGATTTTGTCTCCGTAATGCTAACAGAGTAAAACTTGTTTTGTCAGTAAGCAGATATGTCCTTAAGGATGGAGGAATAGATCTTTTGGTCAAGAATTTCAAGAAGGTACTGTTTCTACACAGTCACCTTTGAAGTCACAGTCACACCTGGTTTTGTATGCAAAAAGAGTTGTTATGCTTATTTAAGAATTTCTTTGTCATGGTACATTTAAGTAGTGCCTTCAATGATGTCACTAAATCATATAAATCAGATAAAGATTAGTTTTTACAAACTTTTTTTTATTTTATAGATAAGAAAGATGATAGAAAGAGATGCATCTTGCCTATAGTCAATGGGAAACTGAGAAAAGCATAGGTCTTCAAATTGTCTGGTGCTTGATTCAAAGCTTGGTGTAGTCACCCCAAAGATTCCTGTTGACATTAACAAAACCTGGCAAAGGCTCTGTGGCTCTCTGGAGACACATTCCCTACATTTGGTCTTTTATCTAAATCTCTTTTAAATCCTATCTTAAAAAAACATTTCTGCTGTGCTGCTTATGAGAAATTAGCCAGTCACTTATGACTAGGCTGTGTGTGAATAACTCTTAGTTTTCTTTTAGGTAATTTAGAGCTTCTATCTGTTAAAGCACTAGGCCATGTAACTTCATGAATTTATTAGCACCCAATCCCTAATCCCAGTAGAACCCCTACCAGTTCTTGCACCTCCCTCTTCTATCTTGTCTCAGAGTAAACTGTTTAAATGAATTATGTGATATTTTTGTGTTATTGTAGAATGGATCTCAATCTGTTTTTTCCAAAAAGTAGCCCTTAAGCATAAATAAACTGTGTATCTCCCAGATTTTCACCAGTTCCTCAGAAAACTCAAAAACTCTTAAATGTGTTTCAGTGAGAGAAGTGTGATCATCAATGTCTGAATTCTGATTTGACTTTTCACAAAGTTCACATATACATGTTTCTGCCAGATTCAGGGATTTTGATTCAGCTGACCATAAAACAGAATCCAGTTATGTTGTTCAGATTAATATTCAGATCTGAATTTCCCAGAGTTGGGGGTTGTTCACCTCCAGGGTCCTGGCTCAGAATATCATACAGAGTGATCTCACTCAAAACCATGCAAGTGACTCATGTATTTACTTCTCTCCGAATCTGTCTCTTCTTCAAGTTAAAATATTTGCCTCTTTGCTCTGACATCAGTTCATCGACATCCAGCTATCAAGTCGACAACGCCAAAACTAAAACGCTGACCTTTTCTCTCTGAGGTCTTCCCACTCAGTCAAGTCGCTGCGGATAACACTTCTATCGTCCGTCATTCTGCCCAGTGGGAGTAGCTTCACCTCCAATCTGCCCTTTTCCCAGAACCACAGCACGAACCGCTACCCCTTCTCCCTGCAAACCATCTCAGTCGTCCCCCTCACCTCCTCCGTCCGCGTTTCAACGACAACTCGGGCCGTCCACAGCTCGCCCCCCACCGCGGCCGGCTCTT